TTTTTGGGGCCCCAATCTCCCCCCAATTCCTCTTTTTTTTTTTTTCCTTTTTTTTTTTTTGTGTAATGTCCTCAATAACTTAAGCCAAGAGTCAGCTGCTGCCAGGATATCACTGAAACTTAACCCAAACGAAGAAAAAAAAAAGAGTAACTTTACAGGAAATTTGCACAAGAAACATTTATACTTGAAGCAACCAGCCATACACCAACAAAATTTATAGATATTTATATAAAAAAACCCCATTTGTGTCATCCAACTCACATCTAGTAGAAAGATGGCTGCTCAGAGAAAAGGAAGCTGACTGGCATCCGATGGCTGAATTAATTAATCCACGGAATTAATTAAAGTGTCCCTCGCAACTGCCCTCACACAGTGGTGGGACTGGAGATTTCTTTATTTTCTTTTTTTCTTTAAACAAAATACATATGGCTGACGTAAAAATATCAGTTTCTGAGCTAAAGAAAACTAGAATTTTTTTCTTTTTCTTTTTTTTTCTTCTTTTTTTTTTTTTTTTTGCATAATATTTATATAGCATTATTTCTCCCTCCCCCCACTCCTAAAATGGAAACTAGGACGACAAAAATAGAGCAAACTAAAGGAACGACCAGACCCTTTGTGGCAAACCCTGCCAGTCACAGATTTCTGGGAGTGACTTTGAGAGCCTCCAAAGTTGGCTTGAAGTTGTTGTTGGTTTGAGTCTTTCTTTTTTATTTTTTTTTTTATTTATTTATTTCTTTCAACAGGTCTGAGGTATTAAAAAAATATCAAAAGAAAAAAAAAAATCGGTGCATCCCCCCCCAAAAAAGTATTTAATAAATATTTATGTAAGCTTGTAAGAACACCATATATTTTTTTTGTTGTTTTTTTTTGCATGTATTTAAAATAGAAAAAAAAATGAGTTTTTTTTTTTTTTTTTTTTTTTTTTTTAAGCAACGTCACCTTTAGCACAGAACCAAAACCCCACAACCACCCCTTATTTGGGTTTTTTTTTGTTTTGTTTTGTATTTCCCGGTGTTTAACCCAAGATCCCCTCGCTCCCCTGGGTTATTTTTTGGGGGGAGGGAGGGAAGGAGGAGCTGGGCATGGGGTGGACACTGAATTTGCACTGGGGACGGGCAGTGGTGGCAATTCCTTCTCGCTGTTGGCAGTGAACAACGCCCAGCTCGCCAGCACCAGGGTGGGACACTGGGGATATTTGGGATTTTTGGGATTTAAGGACCTTTCCTTCGCCACGGGGAGGGCGAGGCGGTGCCGGGGGGCGAAGCCAAGACACTTGGTTTGCGGTGTGGTTTAAGGAACACTTAAATCTCGGCAAAGATCTGGGCCCTGGCGTGGCAGGAGGTGCTGCAGGCAGTGCTCGGACAAGGCACGGGAGATTCCGCTGTGCGTTCCTGACGGGAAAGGGGAGGAGAACCCAGCCAGAGCCAGCCTTTCCCAAACGAAAAAACAACGTCCTCTGCGCTCCCAGGGATGGGAATGACCTCGCACAGGCGCTTCCAGCGCATCCCCGAGCGAGCCAGAGGGGATGGAGGAGGGCAGAGAGGGGGCAGAGCTTCCTCCAGGCTGGGGTCACAACAAGGAGAAGCCCCCACCCCGCCGCCTGCTCCAGGGATCACCAGAGGGACAATCCAGCTCCAAGGAAAGGGATTCTCCCAGGGTTGTTCCCAGGGGTGGAGGCGAGGCTGGAGAGGAGGAGATGGCCTCCAAATAAAGCAGCGAAATGAGGCCAAGCCTCCAGCAGCGCCTTCTCTGGAAGAGCTGCAGCCATCCAAGCCAAGCCTCCAGGAAAATCAGGGATCATCCCTGGGCCTCCCTGCCTTCCACTGGATCATCAGCCAGATTGATCCCTCCCAGGATTCAGGACCTGCTGTGCCCTCAGTGTTCTCCACTCAGCCTCCCACGGCTTTTGGGCATCTCCTGGATCCCTCAGCGCTTCCCTGGAGCCGGCACTGCGAGGCTGAGGGGTGCTGGACCCCGACAGCACAGAAAAAAGGGAAAAAATCCCTCCGCTCTGGAGGGCAGGAGCTGGGAGAGCTGCAAAAACCCTCTCACCAAGAGTTTCCCCCTGACCAGGAGCAGCAGAGAGGCCTCTCCTAAAATTCCTCAGGAAGAAGCTGCATCCCTCACAACTGGGGGGGGGTCTCTCCACCTTTTCCCTGTCAGTTTCACCTCCACATTTGCAGGAAAATCTGAATCTCTCCCCTCCAGCAAGGTTAGAGCCAAGCCAACTTCATTTCTCATCTCCCAGTTTGGAAACAGAGAGAGAAAAACGTGTGGGCACACACAGAGGGGGAGCTGGAAAAAACCCAGGTACCATTTTTCAAAGGTGGAAGACTGGTGGGCATCCCTGGATCTCTCAACCTTGGAGTAAACACCTTCCTCTGGCTGGGATTTTTTAGTTTATTCCTTAATTTTTGCACTGGAGCGCTGACTGCCCCATCCCACTTCCCACTGGGTAAGGGGGCAAACCCCACAAGCAAAGAGCAAACCCCAACATTAGAAGAGAAAACCTCTAAAAACCACGAGTGGAGAAAAAAAAAACAACTAACAAACCCCACCAAAATAATAAAAAATAAAATCAAGTCACAATTGCACCCCCAGCCTTTGGGCTGAGGGCGTGTAAGACTACAACAATTTGAATTTCCTTGGAACATGCATTTTTCCAAAGTGAAAACCCCCTGGCTCCAGGTGCCTGGAGCCCAACTCTTGGAGAGGAAAGAAGCTGGCAGCTTCCCCTGGGTGAGTACCACAAAAAATCAGGGATGGAGATGCACAATTCTGTGGTTTTTTTGGTTTTTTTTTTTGTTTGGCTTAGCCTCTCTCCCAACACCCAGCGTGGTGGTACTCTGGTTCCCACTGCTAAAGACTGGTAAAAAAACAAAACAAAACAAAACAAAAATGAAACAAAAAAGAGAAAAAAACAGATCATTTCCCCCACCCCCCCAAAAAAAAAAAAAAACCAACCCAGATGATGACACAGGCATGAGCAGTTTGACACGGAGTGACCGCAGCGTGTGACCAGTTACTGCTGCCGGGATCACACAGGGCCGAGGTGGACGAGGACGAGGAGGAGGAGGAGGAGGAATTCCAAGTTCTAAGGTCAAACGGATGTCTCCAGGCTGTGGAAGGGGCTCCCAGGCTCTGGGAAGCTGAACTCGCTGTCCACAGCGTTGTTGTTTCTGTTCAGGGCCGTCGACCCCGCCGGGCTGCCCCCACCTCGTTTTTGGAGTCCGTCAGGCTCGGGCTCGTCTTCGGTGCCATCAAGGAATGGTGTCCGAGGCTCGTCTTCCTCCAGGATGAACTCTGGGTGAGTCATGAAGTTATGGATGGAGCTTCTGGATTCGGGTTTCTCGAGGCCTTCGTACAGGGAGCTACGGAACGCATTCACCACTTTGATCTGGGCGGCGTGGGGAGGAAAAAACAGGGGTCAGTGGGGCTGCCAGAGGGCAGAGCTCGAGGGAGAAAGTGAAAATAACTGATGAGAGACAACCATCGAACAAAAATACAGCACGACCACAGCAACAAAACCACCACTGAACAGACAGCTCGGTCAAAAAATGAGACATCTACGGTGAACTGGGGGCAGAGTCAGGCACTACGGGGGTGGTGGGAACCCACCGGCTACGGGGCGGCCTCAGAAGCTGCAAGAAAAGACACGGGACGACTCAAAACCACCACCCCAACATCACGGGTCTGGATGGATGGAAGCCAAAAATGCGTTAATTAGTCGCTCGTTAAGTCGGTGTGTGTGTGCGCGCGCGCCTCGGGGTGGACAGACACGAGGACAACGAGGTGGGGGCAACTACGGCTCCAAAAAGAGGTGGGTTAGGCAAACAGCGGGGCAAACTCTACCGTGGGAGCCGTCAGTGGGGTTGGGCAGGGTCGATCCTACACCTCTGGAAAGGAATGGGGCTGCCCAAAGGCGTCTCCAGCTTTTTGGGAGCCCGTGGGAAGCGCAAGGGTGCCGTGAGGAGGGAACCGGGTCCAGCTCTCTGTGGGTTTCCCCACACTGCTGGAGCTCTGGGTCCTTCCCAGTGGTTTCCAAAGGCAGCTCCGCTGGCACGGAAAAATGGGAATTTGATGGAGCTGGGAGCCAACTCACATTCTGTTGGATATTCTAAAGGCACACACAATCCTGGGAGGCCCCTGGGGCGGCTCCACCAAAATCCAGGCTCAAGCAGGAGATCCAGAGCCTGTTTTGGAGCACCAGGGGATGGCTGCACTGGAAGGGAGAGCTCTGGGAACACGCCTGGCGGTGGATTCCTTGCTCCCTCCTGATCCTCTGCAATTCCAGCCTCACACCCTTCCAGCTCACGGATTTTGGATCAGGTGGGTGACAATCCCAGCTCTGCGGGGATTTTAGGGAAGCTCCACAGAAGCCTCGGAAGAGCTCATGAGGGACAGGAGATCTGCTGTCCCATGGAATCACCTCCAGAGCCCTGAAGATTTTACAGCAGCGCTGGAAGCACCAGGAAAGGCTCAATTTCAGTCGTTGTGCTCCATCTCCTGCCCTGTGGAAGGAGCTCTGCTCTTCCTCAGCTGCCTCCAGTGCTCCCCACCCCTGAGGAACATCCCCTGCCTGCTCCCAGGATGTCCCCGTGGCTGAAACTGCGCCCCAAAAGGGAGGAGATCCCACAAAAACGGCGGGGGAGCAGCATCCCTGTGGGAATCCTCTCCGCTGAGGGAGCTGGAGGGGGAACGATCCCGAAATCCCCTTGGTGAGAGGGAAATGAGGAGCTGTGGGTGTTCTGCCACCTCTGTGGGCTGCAGGTGTGCTAGGGGAGCAGAGACCTCACCCCAAACCCTGCTGAGATGGGCTGGGCTAAACTGTCCCTTTGTTTAAACTCCCTTTATTTAAACTGTCCTTTTATTTCAATTCCCTTTATTGACACTGTCCCTGGGTGTGGCACTCCTCCAGCTGGGAATTCACCCCCCCCAGCACAGCCCAAAACCTCCTGAGGATCTCTGATCCCACAAAACCAGAGCAGGGAATTCCTTCCTTGTGCCTGGAACCCTGGAAGTTCTCCCTGCCCCCTCTCACCAAGGACGCCTTTCCACGTGTGTTTTGCACCTGGCTCAGGATCAGGAGGCATTTCCCAGCACGGGATCGGCTCATCCCAGCTGGAAGAAGCCCCAGGAGCTCCTGCACAGGGAGCAGGGCCACACACCCAAGCTGGAGCACAGGGGATGGCATGGGCTGGGTATCCCCAGTGCTGGAGCACCGCTGGCCTGGAAAAACGGGAATTGGAGGGAGCTGGGAAGCAATTCAGAGCTGGATTTGTGCGCTGGTAACCCTGGGATCAATTCAGGTGAATGCACAGGACACCACCGAGGCCACTGAGGATCTGTCACATCAGCAACGACTCGAGAACAGCAAGTCCTGACCCCCAAAAAACCAGCTGAGCCAAGGACAACGAATCCAAGCAAGCCAAGGAGAGCCCAGGGACTGCCAGGGCCACGAGGTGGTGGCCAAGGAGAGCCCAGGGACTGCCAGGGCCAGGAGGGGATGGCACCTACAAACTCAGGTTTAGGAGCAGCTCATGTGGGACCAGATCTCCTCTCCCAAGGAATCACCTCCAGAGCACTGGAGATTTGTCCAGCACTGCTGGGAGCAGCAGGGAAAGCTCCCTGGAGCAATTCCAGGGAATTTGTGCTCAGTCTCCTGCTCAGCCCCCTCAAGGAGCTCCTGCTGCAGCTTCCCTCAGATTTTCCTCCATCCTCCATCGCCTGCTGCGAGAAGAATTCAGCTGTTCCCTCGTCAAGGGAAGGGAACAGCGAGGAAATGTGTTCTGAATGAGCCAGGCAGTGCCAGCAAAGCTGAATTCCAGGCTGGAGCCGCCCCTCCCTCCCTCCCACAGCCGGCTCCCGCCTCCTCTCCACCTGGAAACTTCAAATGCAACCTCCAGGCTTGGAATTCATTCCCGTGAAACCTCCACGTGCCCCACGGGAATTACATCCCCTGGCTCTGCCCAGCTCCATCAGTCCAGGGCAGAATTCCCAGTGGGAGCAGCTCGGCTCTGCAGAACCTGAACATCATTCCCGAGAGCTCTCCAGCAATTCCAGGAGGGACACAGCAAATCCAGCCCTGGAAAAACTCATCCACGGGAGGGGAGGCACCACGGATCTGCGTGGAGGGAAGAGGAGCTTTGGGAGAGAGGGAAGCAGCAGAGGGAAACGAGAGAAATCCAGGCAAGAAAACAGCGGGAAGATTTGGAGACCTGGGTTAGCTCCTGGAGAAGTTTGCACGACTCTATCCAAGTTTTCTAACCCCTCGCTGCAAAATGGGGAAAACACGGATCCACAGACTGCAAAAAAGCTGCATTTTGGTCTCATCCCCCCCCACCAACCCCTCTGCTCTGGGCTGCTCTAAGCAGATTTGATTCCATTAGAAAATCCTGGAGGTTTTCCCAGATGCAGGCGGGAGCAGGAGGCAGCTGTGCTGCTCCAGAATCGCTGGGGTTAAACTCAATCAGCTGCCAGCCTCAGAGTCAGCTAAACAGAGAGAAAACAAAATTATCCCAAATTCTCTCTCCTCCCCCACAGTGCATAAACAGCGGAGCCTGAAAGCTCTCCAGAAAGTCACCGAGGGTATTTCTCTAATCAGAGAACGGGGATAAGTGACTGTGCAATAAAAAAGCCAATTATCCAGCAGAGACACATTCCCTGCTCCCAGCCTGCAGACAGAATCCACGTGCTCACCAGCCCCAACAACCCACACACAGAGGGGTTTGACATCAGACAGGGCCTTTTTTTGGGGGGTCTGGAAAGCCAGGATCCAGCATTCCCGTTGATACCCAGCAGGAATTGTTTTCCATGCCCGTTCCCATGCACAGTTGTGTGTCTGCACACCCCGGGATCCCCGGCGTGTGCAGAGCAGCCCACGATGAACACACACACACAGAAAGGGCTTTTTTTGGGGTCTGGAAACCCAGATCCAGCACCCAGCATTCCCACCTGGATCCAGCAGGAATTGTTTTCCGTGCCTGCTTCCATGCAGAGCGGTGTCTGCACACCCCAAGATCCAGAGTGTGCAGAGCAAGGTGGGCACCGAGCATCCTCTGGCTGCCCTGGGCACCAGCAGAGCCCCGGGGATGTCCCCACAGAGCCAGGGGATGTCCCCACAGAGCCAGGGGATGTCCCCACAGAGCCCAGGGATGTCCCCAGGGCAGCACAGGGATGGCTCAGCTCTGTCCCCAGGCCATGCAAGTCCCCAGGTGGGGACAGAGAGGGGGACAGCAGCCCCGAGGTGTCACCAGCTGAGCCACAGGCAGGGTTTTCCACAGGCAGCACCCATGGCAGGAGCAAATCCTGCCTGTCCCTCCTCCCCGTGGCTCAGCCAGCCCTGGGGACAGTCCCAGTGGCCACTCTGCCTCCAAAAGAGATTTCAAGCAACGCCTCTGCCCGTCCCTGGGGTGTCCCAGGGCTGGGCAGTGGAAAGAACTGGCAGGATTTGGGCTCAGCCTTGCCCTTCTCCCAGCAATGCTTGTGAACTCGGGGGTTTTTTGAGCAAGAACCGCCAATTTTTGCCCGCCCTCAGGAGGGTGGACTCAAACACCAGCCCTGCAAAGGAGGAGAAGAGGTAAAACTGGAGGAAAACAACAAGGAACGGGGTGGGAAAGGACCAGAAAGGTTCGTAACTTTGTTAACAGCATAAAAACTGGGGTTTTGAACGGTTTTCCCGCCCCATCCTTCAGGTTAGGAACTGAGTGTGCAAGTCAAGGCTGAGAGGGAGCGAGAACAGGCGGGGTTAGGTGGGTGCAGGTGCTCTCTGTGGTTATTAGAAGTCATGCATTGTAATAGACCATCACTCACTGCCCGCAGGAGGAGATGCAGCAGCAGCAGCAACAGCAGAAGTGGTGGGAGTGGAATTGACGGAGGAAAGAGCTACATGGGTTGGGCTAGAAACATTTTTTACATCGTGGTGCTGGCTCACGATGGAAGGCTGTCTCCTGAGGGCTCCCTGCAAAGAGGAGGCGCCGGTCTGGAATGTGTAAACTACGTCCATCTGCAAAGAACCAGAGAGTGAGATAGCAACGCCCGGCCAGGGACAGGGACAGGGACAGGGACAGGGACAGGGACAGGGAGAGGGGGGTGGGCGGGAGCAGGGAGGGCAGACACACACACAGAAAGGAAGGAGGAGGATGGAGAGGCGAGGAACAGGAGGAGGAAGGAGGAGAGAGCACCCCCCCAGCCCACCCCAGGCTCCCCGAAACCCACGGGGGGTTTTGCTGGTGGTGCTGGAGGGGGGGAGCAGAGAGAGAACGCCCGGCTCTGCCCTTCCCACGGCAGCGAGAGCAGCGGGGTTGATCCCCCCACCGGGAAAAAGGCTGTGGTGGGAGGCAGCAGCAGAGGAAACACCTGGGGTTATCCCGAAAATCTGCAGGAGGAGCAGAAAGAGGCAGAGAGGATGGGCAGAGGTGCGAGCGGGCAGCCGGTGCGAAAGGGCTGCTGGTGCCTCAGCCCTGTGGGGCCGCTCCGTGGGTTCTCCACAGCTCCCGTGGCAGCAGGAGGTGTTCCAGCCCCTCTCCCAGGCCTGGGGGCCGCTGGGGATGCAGCATCCTGGTGGCTGCCCTGTGGATGTGTCCCAAGGCTTGAGGAACTGAGCAGCATCCGGGGGCCACCGTGGCTTCCTGGGCGCTTTGTGGCGCTTTTTGGACACCTCCTCCAGCCCCAGCTCTGGAGGTGTTTCACACACGGCTTCGCTCCTGCCCTGCTCTGCTGTCCCTCTTTTCCCCTGGCCTGGGGGGGAAGAGCCCTGTGCCCTGTTCAGACACCCCAAGTGGGGACAGGAGCCCCCCCAGTGCTCAGGTTGGACCCTAAAGAGGCGCCAGGAGGTGCCAACACCCAGGAGCGTTTCTCCCGTGGCGAGAGCTCATCTCAGCTCCACCACAGGGAAACACCTGGGAAGCTCCAGGCTCAGCCCCAGGGGCACCTCTGGCACCACAGCCCTTCAGAGCTCCCAGATTTCCAGCACATCTGGAGCACTTCCAGAAGATCCTGGAAGCTCCCAGCATGTTTTTCACATGAGTGAAACACTGGTTACCCCTCACAAGAAGCCCGGCTGCCCCTCAGTGCTCACGAGGCTGAGCTTCACCTCGAAGCCACCGAGGTGACACCGTGGAGGGGACAGCTCACCGAGGAGAAGGAAAGGGAATCTGCCCCAGCCCCTGTGCCCGGGCTGTTTGTCACAGGGACAGAAAGGAGGAGGAACAAAGGTGACCCAGCAGCTCTTCGTGCCCGGGGACACCAGGACCTCCCTCCGTGGGACAGCCCTTCCCTGGCCTCCAAGGAAAGTGAGGGGCACAAAGCTCTCCCTGCTTGGTGGGAGCAAAAAAAACCCCCATCCTTTTGGGGTGGGGAAAAAGGGAAACAGCAGGGAAAAACATCAGAGAAAACCAACTGATGTAACAAGGCTGAGAGGTTTTTCTCCCCTCCTGTGCCGCAGGGCTGAGAGCTCCGGGCGTGGAGCTGGCACAGAGGGGTGGCACAAGGAGCAAGAGCAGGGAGGGTCTGGCAGGTCCCTGCTGGGCACATTCCCACTGGGAACAGCGTCCCAGCAGCCACCAAGAGCACGGCAGAGCCTGGGGGGCTCCGTGGACCCCGCACAGCCCCCCGTGCTGTGAGCTGACCATCAGCAGCACCTCCAGCCTCCTGCTGGACTGCCCAGCATCTGCAGCACAACAGCCTCCCCCCAGCCATCCCAAAATCCAGGTTTTCCAGGTTCCCTAGGAAGGCACAGTGGAAGCCTGGCCTGGGGGGGCGATGGCATCCTGGAGAGGGAGAGACAGGAGACAGAGAAGGCAGAGCCCCCCCAGCCCCGCTGCCCCCCCAGTACCTGGGTCTGGATCCTGTTGAGCCCCCGGAACCACAGGATCTGCCCCCGCCGCAGCTCCATCTCCGCGTGGTCGATCTCGTCCACGTCCTCGGGCAGCTCCTCCTCGGGGATCTCCTCCTTGGTGATGCCGTGCCCGGCCTCCTTCAGGAACTTCAGGTGGCTCGTCGGGACGGTGGAGATCAGCTGGGGACATTCGGGGACATGGCAGCGGCTGTTACTGTTGTGTATCACTTATATATATATCATTATATCACATATATATATATATATAATTATTTATATATATTTTATTATTGTTCATTATTTATTTATTTAGTAATTTATTTATTTATTATTTATTTTATTATTATTTCTTCATCATTATATATTTATTATTTATATCATATATATAATTATTTATATATTTTTATTATTTATTATCTATTTATTATTTATTTTTTATTTAGTTTATTATAATTTATTTATTATATATATTATTTATACATTATATCATATATATCATTATTTATACATATTTTATTATTTATTTATTATTTCTTATTTATTTTATTATTATTTATTTACTATTATATATTTAGTATTTATATATCATTATATCATATATATAATTATTTATATATTGTATTATATTTTATATGCATTATATTTTTAATATATTATATAATAATATAAATATATATTGTAAACTATATATTATATATTATTACACATATTTTATATGTATTATATTTTATATAATTTATATAATATTATAATTATATATAATATATTATATATATTATTATACATATTTTATATGTATTATATTTTATATAATTTATAACTTAGGTACTCATGTATAATTTTTTATGTAATATAATACTGATAGTTAGACTGAGGTCGTGGCAGTGCCACCAGCCCCGGGGAGGTGTCGGGAGCCAGCGGGGATGTCACTGTCACATCTGGGTGTGTCACACCTGCAGCAGGGTGGGGCTGAGCAACCTCCTCTCCTGCTGCTGGGGTGGGACATCAGCCCCCTCCTAAATATCTGCCCCTTCCCTTTTCCTTTTCTCCTTTTTATTTTCTCCTTTCCCTTTCCTCTTCCTTCTTTTTTCTCCTTTCCCTTTTCTCCTTTTCCTTCTCTTTTTTTCCCTTTTCTCTTTTTCCTAAGGAGCCGTCCTGGAGGAAATCCAGGGAGAACGGGGCAGGATTTTGGGATTGGCCCTTACCTGGCCCCACAGGAGCTCTCCCACTCCAATGAAAATGCACCAGAACCACTGGCTCAGGGTGAGCCCGGAGCAGCTGAAGGGCTTCCCACCAAACTCCACGATGATGATCTGCGGCACAGGAGACAAGAGTCACGCCCTGGGCAGCTCTGAGGGCATGGAGAGGTCCCCTTGGGCCACACTTTTCCCTCTTTCCTGTGATTACAGCAGGAGCAAGGCCCTCAATTCCAGGCTGGGAATTTTCTGGAACACCAGAGAGATGCAAAGACTTCTCATCCAGACTGGAAAGTTTATGGGAAATCAGAAAGGAGCAGGAACCTCACACCCAGGCTGGGAATTTTGAGGAACACCAAAAAGAAGCAGGGACCTCACATCCAGGCTGGGAATTTTAGGAGCAATGACCTCATATCCACATTGCAAATTCTGAGGAACACCAGAAAAGAGCAGGGACTTCACCCCCAGACCAGGAACTCCATGCAACACCAGATTCACCTCCCAACACGCTCTAGACCCCAAATCATGGAATCCCAGGATGTTTTGGGCTGGAAGGGATTTAAACCCCACCCAGATCCATGCGCTGGGACACCTCCCACCAGCTCAGGTCGCTCTGATCTCCACCCACCCCAGCCTTGAGCACATCCAGGGTGGTTCCTGTGCCACCAAGACGCTGCAGGGGGACAGAGCCGAGCCCGGGTGTGACAGCCCCCGGCAGCCCCGCGGCCTCACCTGGGCGGTGAAGGTGCCCAGCACCACGGCGCAGAAGATGGGGTTGCGGTAGATGCCCTCGAAGACGTTCCTCTCGCCGTGGATCTTGCGGGCGTTGATCTCGTTGAAGAGCTGCATCATCACAAAGGTGTTGAAGACGATGGTGTAGTGCTCGGTGGGGGGAGAGTGCAGGGGAGCGTTCCGGCCGCTGTCAATGTCGAAAAACTTCTCCCCTGCGCAGGAAAAAGGGGATTTGGGGAAGGGAAGAGAGCAGAGGATGAGATGCTGCTTCTTCCTCCTGCTCCTTCCTTCTGCTCCTTCCTTCTGCTCCATCCTGGGGGCGTGGGATTAGGGTGCCCTGACCCTCTGCCAGCCCCACTGAACCTAAATATCCGTAAAAGTGCTGAAAAGCTCCAGCTGTGCATCCAGGAGCAAAAATCTCTCTCTGGGTCAGCCCCTGCTTCCCAGCCACCACTCACAAAGCTCTGTCCTGCACGAGGGCACTGTGACAGCGACTGCAAGGCTGCCCCTGGTGGGCTGTGTGCAGGGAGGGGACTCTGCCCCTTCCCTTTTCCTTTTCTCCTTTTTCTTTGCTCCTTTCCCTTTCCTCTTCCTTCTTTTTTCCCTTTTCTCCTTTCCCTTCTTTTTTCTCCTTTCCCTTTTCCCCTTTTCCTTCTTTTTTTCCCTCTTTTCTCCCCTTCCTTTTCTCCCCTTCCTTTTCTCCCCTTCCCTTCCCTTCCCTTCCCTTCCCTTCCCTTCCCTTCCCCTTTTCTTCCCTTCCCTTCCCCTTTTCTTCCTTCTCCTTTTTTTCCTTCTCTCCTTCCCTTTACTCCTTTTCCTTTTCTCCTTTCCCTTCCCTTTTCCATTTTTCCCTCCCCCTTTATTTCCCCCTTCTCCCCTTGTCCCCAGCACCCTCCGGAGCCGCGTGCTCACCGGCGAAGAGCAGTGTGAAGATGATGGTGAGCTGGTAGACGGCGTGGCCCAGGATGTTCTTCATCATGGTGCGGGAGATGAGCGGCTTGTTGCGGCCGTAGGGTTTGCGCAGCAGCAGCGACTCCGACGGCGGCTCCGTGGCCAGCGCCAGCGAGGCGAAGGTGTCCATGATCAGGTTCACCCACAGCATCTGCACCGCCTTCAGGGGAGAGTCCTGCAGGGGGAGAACACATCAAGCCATCAAAATCAACCCTTCTTCCCTTCCTTGTTTCGTTCTTCTCAAGAGAACAGCTCCAGAATTGGTCTGGGATCTTTATAAAACATTCCCAAACGTTGCTCCTTTGCCCTGAGCTCCCTGCACTGCCTTCAGCGGAGAGTCCTGCAGGGGGAGAACACATCAAGCCACCAAAATCAACCCTTCTTCCCTTCCTTGTTTCATTCTCCTCATGAGAACAGCTCCAGAATTGGTCTGGAATCATTAACACCTTCCTAAAACATTCCCAAGACGTTTCTCCTTTGCCCTGAGCTCCCCAGGGGAGAGTCCTGCAGGTAAAGCATGGGAGAACATGTCACATCAACTAAATAAACCTTTTCTTTCCTCTTTGTTTCACTCTCCTCATGAAAACAACCCCAGAATTGCTCTGGGATCTCTAAAACTTTCCCAAACCGCTCCCAAGACATTTCTCCTTTGCTCCGAGCTCCCTGCACGGCCTCACAAGGCATCTCCCGACCCCTGGCTCTTGGTCACATCCCTAAACTCCAACAATCCATGGGAAACCTGCTAAATCCAAAGGGTTTGTGTATTCTCCTGCTCCAGTGAGGAACAACCCACTGGAAACCTGTGAAATCCAACAGGTTTGTTCTCCTGCTCCACTGGAAAAGAATCCACTGGAAAACTCTTCAAACCAAGACATTTATTCTCCTCCTCCAGTGAAGAACAACTCACTGAAAACCTCTTAAATCCATGAAACTTGTTTTCCTGCTCCACTACAAAACAACCCACCGGAAATCTGTTAAAAATCAAGACATTTATTCTCCTGCTCCACTGAGAAACAATCCATTGAAAGCCTGTGAAATCCAACCAGTTTAATCTCCTGCTCCACTGGAAAAGAATCCACATGAAAACTCTTCAAACCAAGCCATTTATTCTCCTTCTCCAGTGAAGAACAGTTCACTGAAAACCTGCGAAATCCAACCAGTTTTATCTCCTGCTCCACTGCAAAAACAACCCAGAGGAAACCTGTGAAATCCAACAGGTTTGTTCTCCTGCTCCACTGGAAAAGAATCCACTGGAAAACTCTTCAAACCAAGACATTTATTCTTCTTCTCCAGTGAAGAACAACTCACTGAAAACCTGTGAAATCCTACAGGTTTGTTCTGCTCCACTGGAAAAGAATCCACTGGAAACCTGTTCAAACCAAGACATTTATCCTCCTGCTCCACTGGAAAACACCCCAGACTAAACCTTTGAAATCCAACACGTTCATTCATCCCCCTCCTCTCCAAGTGACGAGGTGATCACCGTGGTGAAGACCCCGTGTCCCACCTGGCCAGGTGATCTCACCTGGGCGATGCAGGCACCGGTGAAGGCCACGACGATTCCCCCCCGTGTCCCACCTGGCCAGGTGATCTCACCTGGGTGATGCAGGCGCCGGTGAAGGCCACGATGACGGCCACCACGTTGACGGTCAGCTGGAACTGCAGGAACTTGGAGATGCTGTCGTAGACGTTGCGGCCCCACATGACGGCCTTGACGATGCTGGTGAAGTTGTCGTCGGTCAGGATGATGTCCGAGGCCTCCTTGGCCACGTCCGTGCCCGCGATGCCCTGGGGGACAGAGCCAGGGGTGAGTCACGGTGCCTGCCTGGCTCCGCTGCTTCCCAGGAATGTTCCCAGCGGGAGAAGCCCACGGAGCCGCTGCTGATCCGTGATCGGCAAGGCCGGGCTCTGAGGCAGCCCAGCTTTCCCTGGGCACATCCCAGACAGAGCCACGGTGAAGAAAAGCTGGGAAACAGCTGGGAAACAGCCAGAAAGAAAGTCAGGAAGCAGCTGGAAAACAGCCAGAAAACAGCTGGGAAACGGCTGGAAAACAGACAGGAAACAGCCAGAAAACAGCTGGGAAACAGCTGGAACAAAGCTGGAAAACAACTGGAAAACAGACGGGAAAACAGACAGGAAACAGCTGGAAAACAGCTGGGGAAAGAGCTGGAAAACAGCTGTGAAACAGAAAAAAAGCCAGAAAACAGCTGGGAAATGGCTGGAAAACAGACAGGAAACAACCGGAAAACAGCTGGAAAACAACTGGAAAACAGCTGCCTCCTCATGCCAGGGAATGGCTCCATCCCGGGCTGGGCAGCTCTGCTGGAATCCCGAAGGAGGGAGAGCCCAGCCCAGAGGTTTCTGCCCCATCCCCGAGGTGAGAACGGCCCCACAGCTTCCCAAATTTCTCCAGCAGCATCTCCAGGGAACCAGGTCGGGCTGTGCTTCCCGGCGCCGGCACAGCGAGGCGCTCACCCTACAGGAATTCCATGCAGGAATTCCAAAAGGAGCCCATTCCCTGGCGTTTTCCCGGATTGCCCGGATCCCAATCCCAGCACAAACAGGAAATCCCTGCCTGTTGCAGGTTTAGGGGAACAGCCTTCCCTGCTCATCCTAAAGGCTCTGGAATTGCACTTGGATGTTCAACACGTTCCTAAAAACACTTCCCAAAAAATCTTTTAATTTGCTCAAAACTGCCTGTGCATCCTCCCCACCCAGCTCCTGCTCATGTCCCTGAAATTAATCCACATCAAACCTGTTAAAAACAGGTTTATCTCACTGCTCCTTTCACACAGGATAAAAAACATCAAACCGGAGTTTCCCACCATAAATAAATTCCCAAAGCCTGATCCAGCACCGTGCCTGGAACTGGGGTGAAGAGCTGCAGGGAAAACCAAATCCTGGGGCTCCCACAGCTTTCCTGGATCCAGGAGAGACACCAGGACCTCCACGGAATTCCCAATCCCTTGCTCACGGTCCTGTGCAGCTCAGACTCAAATCCAACACCCTTAGAAAATTCCTTTTTGGGTTTTTAGGCTGTGGCGTAGATTTGGAAAAGTTTCCATGGTCTGGAAGCAATTCCAGTGGAATAACCCCGTGGAGCGAAGGAGAACCCCCAGGCTGGCCCTACCATGGCAAACCCAACATCTGCTTTCTTCAGGGCTGGGCCATCGTTGGTCCCATCTCCTGTCACGGCCACCACCTGCCTCTGGTCACCCACGGTGCTGTCGATGATTCCTGCGGTGGAAATGAGGAATTAAACCCCAAGGGAAAGCTCCCAGCCTGGATCAGGCTGGAAAAACCCCAGGGATGAGCCCCTGGGGAGGGGCAGTGCCCACCTTTCACCAGGGTATGCTTGTCCGTAGGGGAGGAACGCGCCAGCACCCGCAGCTTGGGCCAGATCTTGTCCAGCTGCTCCTGCTCCACCTGCAGGACCAGGAAAAAGGGAAGTGAATTCCCCCCAGGAATCTTCTGCTCCACCAGAGAGCAAATCCCAACCGGGACAGGACAGTGGCTTCACCCCAAACACTGCTGAGCACCCCAGCAGCTTCCGTATGCAAGGAGAAGAGGAAAATCCAGCAGCATTTGGGAAACTCAGCAGGATCTGGAAAACCCAGCAGGATTTGGGAAACTCAGCAGGATTTGGGAAACTGGGTAGGATTTGGGAAACCAGCAGCATTTGGGAAACTCAGCAGGATCTGGAAAACCCCGTAGGATTTGGGAAACCCATCAGGACTCAGAAATCCCATCATGATTTGGGAAGCCCAGCAGGATTCAAAAAATCCAGCAGGATTCTGAAAGCCCAGCAGGACTTGGAAAACCCAGCAGGATTTGGAAAACCCAGCAGGATTTGGAAAGCCCATCAGGATTTGGAAAACCCATCAGGATTTGGAAAACCCATCAGGATTTGGAAAACCCATCAGGATTTGGAAAGCCCATCAGGATTTGGAAAACCCATCAGGATTTGGAAAGCCCAGCCGGATTTGGTGCCTTTTGCCGCTGGAGAAGCCTCCCTCCCCCGTGCAGGGCAGAGCTCTCCCACCTCTCCCTTCTCGTTGCGGATGAGCCGGTTGAATTCCTTCCCCTCCAGGCACAGGAAGTCCTCCCCGGGCAGCAGGATGCCGCACTTGGTGGCGATGGCCCGGGCGGTGTTGATGTTGTCCCCTGTCACCATGCGGACGGTGATGCCGGCGCGCTGGCACTTCAGGATGGCATCGGGCACCTGCGGGCAGGGCGGGGTTGGCGCTGGACCAGGCAGCTCCTGATCCCCAAAAAGATCTGGAAAAGGCTCTGGAGGGGTGAGGGAGCTGCGTCTGCCACCCCAGGGGGAAGGGGCTTCGCTGTCACCCCCCTGGGCGCTGAGGCCAGCCACAAAAACAGGAATTTCATCCTCTCCCGCCCCGCTAATGCGTTTATCCATCAGGGAGCAGTGTGGGAAGAGAGGGAATTAGATGAGGAATGAGCAAATCCAATCAGGAGCCTCCAGAGCCGCTGCAGCCAGGGGATCCATAATGCAATTCCCAGACTGCCAGATCCCTGAACATCTCATCAGGGACCAGGAGAGCAGGGGGGGCGAGCTCCAAACTGGAATCCAGGGGCAGGAACGAGGGGGATTATTGCATTAGGCCAGCAGACAGCTCAGAGGGAAAAAACAGCTCCAGGAGCCCAGGGATTCTTCCTGGCTGTTTCCATCCACCTTCGGTGCAGCCTGGAGCAGCACAGACCCCACAGATCGGGAATTCTGGGTGGGAACATGCTGCCACGGGGTTGTTCTGTCCAAAAACGGGAGAGGAGTGCCGCAGCAGGGAGCTGAGGGCACATAATGGAATTCCTGAGGGGATCATGGCCCTGAGCAGCAGGAAAAGGGCTGGGAATAGCACAGGCCAGGGGGGACAGGTGGGATTTGGTACCTCAGGCCGCACGGGATCCTCGATCCCCACCACGGCGATGCAGGTCAGGTCGGACAGGATCTCGTTCTCGCTGTCCCAGTCGGGCTCGGCGTCCGCAGGGAAATCCCGGAAGGCCAGGCAGATGGTCCTGAGCCCGTGGCAGGCCATGGGCTCGATCACCTTCTTCACCATCTCGTCCCTGTCCTTCACCTTGAACACCCGCGGCTCGCCGTTCTTGTCCAGGATCTTGGTGCACCTAAGGGGAGGCGAGGCAGCGTCACAGTCCTGGCACCCCCTCTGCAGGACGGGGCTGTCCCCTCGTCCACAGCTCCCTCCAGCCTTCCCAAACCCACCCAAAAAAAACCACTCGGCACATTCCTGGCACAAAAGGAGCACATTCCCCTTCCACAACCCCCTCCAGCTTTCCTAAACCCACCCAAAAACCACTCGGCACCTTCGCGACACCCCACCTGGACATCCCCTTCCCCACAACCCCCTCCAGCTCCCCCAAAAACCCACCCAAAAACCCTCCCACCATCCACCCTCGCCCCCCGGGGCGGCCGGATCCCGTCAATCCGGCGGGACGAGGAGCAGGAGCGGGATTTACTTGCGCAGGATGATCTCGGAGGCGCCCTTGCTGTACATGCGGAAGCCGCCGCCGCTGCTCCTCAGCACGGTGCTCATGGACTTGCGCACGGAGTTGAAGGTGTAGACCTTGTAGAGCTTCTCCTCGGGCACCTCGTTGCGCACGGCCTGGTAGTCCTGCTTCAGGTCCAGCACGAAGCCCAGCAGGGCGCACTCGGTCTTGTTGCCCACCTGCCGGGGCAGCCCCCCTTCCTTCTCCGGCGGCTGCGGAAAGGACGGAAAAGCCATGCCGAGCCCGGCCGCGGAGCTACGGACGGCCACCAGGCTCGGCGCCGCGGCTCACCAGGATTTTGGAGGTGTAGGCGGAGTTGATGGCCACGCCGTGCACGATGAGGTCCAGGATTTTGGGCAGGATGGCCTCGGGGTCGGGGATCTGGCGGTAGTGCGTGTCCCCCACGTAGGCCTGCACCACGGTCATGCGGTTCATGGTCAGCGTGCCCGTCTTGTCCGAGCAGATGGCCGTGGCGTTGCCCATGGTCTCGCAGGCGTCCAGGTGCCTCACCAGGTTGTTGTCCTTCATCATTTTCTGCAAGCACCGAGGAGGTCAGGCCCGGCAGGATTCCCCTCCTCGCCCCCCTCACGCCACGCCCAGGCCTCACCTTGACGGAGTAGGCCAGCGAGATGGTGACGGCCAGCGGGAGCCCCTCGGGCACGGCCACCACCAGCACGGTGACGCCGATGATGAAGAACTTGACGAAGTACTGGATGTAGATGGGGGTGCACTCGGCCAGCCAGGGCCGCTTCTGCACCCCGAAGGTGTCGATGACGAAGTAGAGCACCAAGATGATGACGGTGATGGCCGACATGATCAGCCCTGGGGACGAGGATGAGGTGAGGGGACAACGGGGACAGGGACAGCCCTGCCCCAGCTGCTCTGGGGTCACTGTCACTGTCACTCACCTGCCTTCCCGATCTGCACTGCCAGGCGCGTGAGCTTCCCCTGCAGCACCGACTTCTCCTTCTTGGGCACCTTCACCTTCTTCTTCTCCTTCTCCTCGTTTTCCACCCCCTCCTGGCTCTTCAGGGGCTGGATCTCTAAGGCCACACCATCCTGAGTTTTAGCTACAGCCCGGGGGGCAAAACAAGACACCACGTGTGAATAGGAGAGAGAGCCGGGAAAGCCCGGAGGACACCACTGAGGAGGAGGATGGTGGTGGCAGAGAGCGAGCGAGAGAGAAATCCCAGGACAAGAACCACTCCCGACCACACACGCGTCCGAGCACATGGAAGCTCCGTGTCCCAGGGCCCTGCCACCTCTCTCCGGGGTGGCTTTCTGTCATCTACCCCCTGCCCACGGATTAGGGATCCTCAGAGGTGACTCTGGAACCGGTCACACCTCTGCGAGAAACCCTCTAGGCCAGATTTTGGGGTCTCTTCCAAGCCTGCGGAGGACTGGCAGCGCTGTGGGGTGAGCCCAGAGATGCTCCAGTGTCCCCAGTGCCTCGCTGAGCGTCCCCGGTGCCACCTCTGCAGCGCCCCGTGGGCAGCCCAGCAGGAAGCGACCGAGGGGGCGAGATGGAGGGGAGGGTTAGAAATTGGGATGGAGACTGAAGAGCAGGGAGCCAGGAATCCTCGAATCCCAGCCCGGAGCCATCCACCACGCCTCTGGGAGCCGAGACAGCCCGGCTTCCCATTCCTAAAATGGGGCTAATCCAGCTGGAAGGCCCTGGGGAAACCCTGGAAGCTTTGGAGAGGGATGGGAAGCCCCCCCCAGAGGTTCCTCCTCAGCTGCTGGAGCTGGAGGAGCAGCAGCGGCCCCAGGGCCACCCTGGGACCTGTCCCCTGCTGGGCTGGAGGCCACCCCGGAGCAGCTCCGCAGAGGAACCTCCACGGTGACAACAGACCCGACACGGACACAACAAAGCACCCGGACACATCTGACGGCAAGGAGGGCAACTCAAACTGCTGAGAGGAGAGAGAAAGAGAGAGAGAGAGAAAGAGAGAGAGGGGTGGAGAGAGAGGTGCAGAAATGGGGCTTCCTCCACAGCCTGCAAAGAACAGTGTGAGAAACACTGGCGAGGAGACGCTCACGGAGTCGAGGCCATGGCAGGACAGGGTGCAAGCGTCCCGTGGGCCCAGCCCTGGGGGAGATCTCATCCCAGGAATGCCAGGAGGGCACTTCCAGCTCTGCCCCGAGCACCAACCCTGTGCAGGGACAGCGTGACACGGGCACAAGAGCTTTAAACCACCAAATCCCCGCTGCGACTCGTGGAGTTATCCCAGGAAGGCGATGCTGCGCCAAAAGTCCTGCTGGAAGAGCCCTGTCCTCCCTGAAATACGGCTTTTCCCCATGCAGGGACAACAGGAAGGCTCATCCAGTGATGAATTTTAGCTTTTCTGTTTTCCATACATTTACAGTCCTGCAGTTGTTCAGTGTGTAACTCTAAATTTTATGTGCAGTGTCAGCTGCTGCTTTCCCCTTTCGGGCAGACACAACAATTCCTCTGCAGGCCTGGGAATCAAGGACACCTCAGTGCCTCAGGCCTGAGAAATGTAAACAAAAGTGAGCTGGGGGCAGCAAATTGGCGCAAATTCCTTCATCACCTGAAGCTGTAATTAAGATTAACCCCCAACATCCAAATGGACCACGTGAAAACCCGTGGTCCTTTTCTGGGTGCAGCCCCCGGGGAGGGGCTTTGCCTGCCCAAAATCTACCTGGAGGCCCTTCAACAAATAGAACTGCTTTTTATTCCTTTCACTCTGTTTTTAGGGAGCCCCAAAAGGTGCCACCAGCAGGGCTGGGGCTCTGGGGACACCACGATGCCGCGCCAGGGCCACCGGCCACGGGACCGTTGCACCTTTTCCCAGAAAAACGAGGCGAGAGTCCCGCCGGAGCAGCAAAGAGCACAGACTGATGAGGAGAAGGAAGGAAGAAGGAAGGAGGAATGCTCGGTAGTTAGTGTGGTGCTGGTTCAAAGGATGGAGAGGCTGGCGTTACCTTTGTTGCGGTTTTCGGGGGCTCCGCTTTTTTTACCTGTTCAAAGAGAGAAAGGGGGGAGGGCTGAGCACACGGAGCCGCCTTCCCCATCCAGCTTGGGACGCTCCCAGGGGCCACTCCAGTGGGCACCCTCTGGACACCACGCCTTGCTCCACCAGGCTCCGCAGCTCCCGGGCTGCCCTGGGCACCCCATTCCCAAGGATTCCGGTTTTCCCTGCCTGTAAATCACCCCCACGACCCCAGCAGTGCATCAAAGGTGCTGGAGGTGGCCTCAGATTTTCAGGAGGAGAAATCACGGGGCTCCACAGAGCAGATTTTTGGGAGAAGAAACCCTCCTGCAGCTTCAGGTCCCTCCCTCCTGCTGCCATAGATCCGTATGGGAAGCGCAGACTTGTCCCCCACTGTGGGCAGCGCCAGGCCCGGAGCAGGGAGGTCTGACCCCCCAAAATCTGCCCAGGTGGCTCACGGGGGGTGCCCAGGGCTGCTGCACCTCAACCAGCCTCAGGTGACAAGGGCTTTATGTCACCCCCAGCTCCAGTGGGGACAAACTGTGGTGGCACAACCCTGACCTGCTCTGCTCCCAAAACCATTGAGCTTGAAGACTGGGAAAGCTCCAAGCACTGGAGGCACCCACGGCAGTGCCACTCCCGGTGCCACTCCCGGTGCCACTCCCGGTGCCATTCCTGGTGCCATTCCCGGTGCCACTCCCAGACCACCTTGTCCTGCCACCTCCATGGCGGCAGCCGAACCCGGGAGCTCCGCAGCTCCCAAATCCCGGCGATCCCGGAGCTGGGGAAGCCAGGATCCCCGCACAGAGCTGGAGCTGGCAGCCAGCACAGCCCGGGAAGCCTCTCCCTGGCATCGCCTCCCGGGAAGGGCTCCCCGGCGCGGGGATGCGGTGCCAGCCTGATGCTGCTGCCAGCGCCTGATCCCGGGGAGGCCAAACCTGCTGAGCAGGGGATCAGGGACACAGGGAGCTTCCCGAGCTTCGCCAGCAGGGAATAAGCAGCTGGATGTGAAAGCTGAGACGGGAGAATCCCAGCATGACAGGAACACCTCAGCCTGGCTGCTGTCCCACCCCTCCTCTGCCTCCTGCCATCCCCTCCTTTCCCCCAGGGAGCTCAGGAAACGCTCAGGGGATCCTCAGCCAAGTTCTCCAGGGTTTGGGTGGGATAAAAACGCCCTGTGGGCACCCTGGACTCACCTTCCCACCACCTTGGGGTGGCACTGCCACCGGCCCCTCTTCCCCTGGGATCCTTGATCCCCCCACCCCACAATCCAGGATGGAGAGGAGGGAGCTGGAGAAGCTCCCAAAGAGGTCTGGGAGCACGGTGGAGGGGACAGGGAGGGACCCCCAACCCCTCCCTGTTCCTGCCTGGGCCAGGGGAGCTGACCCCGCTGTGGGGGGAGCCTGTGGATGCTTCCCAGGAACGGGAGAAAGGAGGGAAAAGGCAGGTTCAGGGCATTTTGTTACCTTTCTTCACTTTCTTCTCCTCGTCGCCTTCTCCTGCTCCCAAGAGGGTGAAGATGATCCCTGTCTGGGAGTTGATGCCCACAGCAGTCACCACCATCCTGCCCGAGCCCTCCATCACGTGGGTACCTGGCACGGCAGGAATGTCGTGGTGAGACCCCCAATTCCCATCCCACACAATCCCAGCTTGGAAGGGACCTCCAACCCCATCCCCATCCATCCCCCTGCATGGGCAGGGACAACTTCCCCCATCCCAGACTGCTCCAAGCCCCGTCCAGCCTGGCCTTGGACACCTCCCTGAGACCAGGATCCCAATCCAAACTCATCCCAGACCCCTCACCTGACAGCAGCATGGGGTCTTTATCCATTGATTTCTTGACCTGGTCTGACTCCCCGGTCAGCGAGCTCTCGTCTATCTTCAGGTCATTGCCCTGGATCAGGATCCCGTCCGCTGGCAGGAGATCACCTGGGAGAGGAGGAAAAACCGGGATCAGCCCTGCCTGGGCTCTGCTCCATCCCATGGGATCCAAAACTCAGGCTCAGAGCAGCTCCAGAGGGAGGAGAAGCAGCGGCTGGGCTTTGGAAGGGACAGGTGCAATAAAACGAAATCCAAGAGCTCCCAAATCCTCGCTGGTGCAAGGAGAGTCCTGGGGAGGATTTTGCTCAGTGCTTCCCCATCTGGTTTTAATGAATCTTTCCCAGAGCTCCTGATGCATCCAAAATCCACCGTATCCACCTGCCAACTATGGAATTGGGCCCTTGGGAACATGGTGTTGGATCAATCTCCTTCCTGAACGGGAGGAATACTCCCCCTGGGAAATGAGGAGCAGGGCCTGATTTATCCCAAGCTCCTGGAAAATGAAACATCCACCAACACCTCCAGGCCAAGGAAATATTCCCCAGCATCTCCTGGATAAGGAAATATTCCCCAGCATCTCCTGGATGAGGAAATATCCAGCAACATCTGGATAAGGAAACATTCCCCAAAACCTCCTGGATGAGGAAACACCCCCCAACATCTCCTGGCCAAGGAAATGCTCCTCAGCATCTCCTGGATAAGGGAATATCCTCAAGAGGGACAAGGTTGGGAAAACAAACTAATTCCGATCCAGAATTAAGCGGCCAGCGCAGCTCCAGGGCGAGGAGAGAAGGTGAGTGAAGCTCCATCGCCTCCACGGGAGCATTTCCACGGAGCAGAGAGGAGCTGATGCCTCTCCTGGAGGAAGAAGGGCTGGAGAAGCAGGGAGGAGGATCCCGAGGGGAAGGACAGATCCACCCTCACTCACCGTACTTGATCTGGGCGATGTCCCCCACCACGATCTCAGCCACGGGGATCTGGATCACCTGGCCCTTGCGGATCACCGTGAACTTCTGCTCCTGCTCGATGCGGCTCTGGAGGCCCCGGAACTGCTTCTCCTTGCTCCAGTCGTTGAAGGCCGTCACCAGCACCACGATGATGACGGAGAAGAGGATGGCAGCGCCCTCGATCCAGCCCGCCTGTGCCTCGCCCTCGTCCTCCACGCCGCCCGCGGACTGCCCGCACACTGCGCGGAGAGAATTCCCCACTGGAGAACCCCAAACCCTGCCTGGAGCAGGGAATTCCCCACTGGAGAACCCCAAACACTGCCTGGAGCAGGGAATTCCCTCCTGGAGAACCCCACACCCTGCCTGGAGCAAGGAATTCCTCACTGGAGAACCCCAAACCCTGCCTGGAGCAGGGAATTCCTGACTGGAGAACCCCAAACCCTGCCTGGAGCAGGGAATTCCTGACTGGAGAACCCCAAACACTGCCTGGAGCAGGGAATTAGGGAATTCCTGACTGGAGAACCCCACACCCTGCCTGGAGCAGGGAATTCCTGACTGGAGAACCCCACACACTGCCTGGAGCAGGGAATTCCTCACTGGATAACCCCACACACTGCCTGGAGCAGGGAATTCCCATTTCCACAACCCCATAAAAGTCCTTTCCAGAACCAAAACCTGCCCTGATCCAACTCATGTGATCCCAGAGAACAATTCCTCCTCCTTCCTCCTCCTCCCTGAGCTCCCCCAAGGATGGGGAGATGCCACCACCCAACTCCATCTGCACCACGGGGCGACCACCCCATCCCAAACCCTCTCCCACAGGGAATGGGGCACATCCCAAACCCCTGCTCCCACGGGGAATGGGGCAGATCCCAAACTCCTGCTCCCACAGGGAACGGGGCAGATCCCAAACCCCTGCTCCTACAGGGAATGGGGCACATCCCAAACCCCTGCTCCCACGGGGAATGGGGCAGATCCCAAACTCCTGCTCCCACAGGGAACGGGGCAGATCCCAAACCCCTGCTCCTACAGGGAATGGGGCACATCCCAAACCCCTGCTCCCACGGGGAATGGGGCAGATCCCAAACTCCTGCTCCCACAGGGAACGGGGCAGATCCCAAACCCCTGCTCCTACAGGGAATGGGGCACATCCCAAACCCCTGCTCCCACGGGGAATGGGGCAGATCCCAAACTCCTGCTCCCAAGGGGAATGGGGCAGATCCCAAACTCCTGCTCCCAAGGGGAATGGGGCAGATCCCAAACTCCTGCTCCCAAGGGGAATGGGGCAGATCCCAAACTCCTGATCCCACAGGGAACGGGGCAGATCCCAGATTCCCCCAGGGAATTGGGCAGATCCCAGAGCCCCCATCCCAGATCCCAGATCCCCCTGGGGCAGATCCCAGAGCCCCCATCCCAGATCCCAGATTCCCCCAGGGACCGGGGCAGATCCCAGAGCCCCCATCCCAGATCCCAGATTCCCCTGGGGCAGATCCCAGAGCCCCCACCCCAGATCCCAGATTCCCCTGGGGCAGATCCCAGAGCCCCCACCCCAGATCCCAGATTCCCCCAGGGAATTGGGCAGATCCCAGAGCCCCAGCCCAGACTCACGCTCGTTGTCCCCTCCCGGGGGGTGGTAGAAGGAGAGCCCCAGGGAGATGATGGCAGCGATCTCCAGGATGATCAGCGTCACGTCCTGCAGCGCCTCCCACACCAGCTGCAGGAATGTCTTGGCCTTTTTTGGGGGGATGAAGTTCTGGCCGAAGACCTGACGCCTCTTCTCCAGGTCCGTGGGGTTCCCGGACAGGCCTGGAGGCGTGGGGAAAACAGGGATCAGGGAAAATCCCACTGTTATCCCCATGGAATCCATCCATGCCTGCCCTGGAGTGAGCTGCTGCCAGCAAGGAGCCAATTATAAATAATATAATATAATATAATATAATAATATAATATAATGTAATATAATATAATAATATAATATAATATAACATAATATAATGTAATGTAATATAATATAATAAAATTAACAAAATATAATAAATATAATTAATATAAATAATATAATATAATATAAATAATATAATATAATATAATATAATATAATATAACATAATATAATATAAATAACATAATATAATATAATATACTTAAATTACATAATATACTATATTCATATAAAAATATTTATACATAAATATATAAATATAAAAATATATAAATATATATTTATATAAAAATATATATAATATAAATATAAATAAGATTAATAAAATAAATAATATAAATAAGTATTCATTTCTTTTGAATAAATATGTTGTTAATAAATCTATTTATTTAGAAATATTAATATAAATAATAAATTAATAAAGATTTATAAATATGTATTTATAAATGAAATATAGATAAAAACATAAACAAAAAATTAATTAATTAAATAATATAAAATGTAATAAAAACATACATAAATAAAAAATAAATAAAATATAAGTAAAATAATAAATAATACATAACATTAAATAATATGTGAATATTATTATGTATAAATATAAATAATAATATCTAAATAAAATAATAAAATAATAAAACATAATAAATAATGTATAAATATAAATAAATAATAATGAAAACAAATAATGCATAAGTAAATAAAATACAATTAAATCGTAATAAGCAGTAGATAAATTAGTAAAATATAAATACAAATATAAACAAATTAAATTACAAAACACACAAAATTTTAAAACATTCTAAAGGGTTTTTTTGTCTTCAGGAACTGAAGCTTCTCTTCAAAAGCCTCTGTTCACCCAGGCTGGCTGCAGGGACACCAGGGCTGCAGCCTGGCGAGTGCCCAGGCGCTGCCAGCTGGCACCGGTGCCTTTGTTTACATCAAATGAGCCATAAAATCCGGGCAAATCCGGGCAAATCTGGGCAAATCTGGGCAAATCTGGGCAAATCTGGGCAATTCTGGCACTGGCGGCACCTCAGGCACCTGAGCCCTGTCCCCTGGCAGCGCCTGGAGCGTCTCCAGCCCCGGGGACACCGGACCCAAACCCGGAGATGGAGGAGGATTTGGGCTGGTGCTGCTGGAAAAGTGTGGGAGACAGGGAGAGAGCGGGACACGGAGCTGGGAGCGAGGATTTGGGGGAAATGTGGAACAAAAGGGGTGCTGAGCCCCTCGAGAGCCCGCCCAGGCAGCGATGGGGGACAGCGGCAATGCGCCACGGCCACCCCAAATAAAGCCATGAATGCTGAGGGGGTCCCCGGAGGGAGAAGCCCCCCCTGCCCAGCACCTCCTTAAGGGACCCCCCCAATTCTTTTCCACCTTAAGATGTCCCTGGGGCCGCTGCCAGGTCCCGGGATGCTCCGGGAATGGCCCTGGACGCATCCCGGTGGTGCCTGGAGCAGCCTGGCAGTGACAGGGAGCCGGGCCTCGGGTTCAAGGGACAGCCCTGTGTCATTCCGGGGGACACCTCTGTGCCAGCCCCGTGTCACCCTGGGGACACCTCTGTGCCAGCCCGGTGTCACTCTGGGGACACCTCTGTGCCAGCCCTATGTCACTCTGGGGGACACCTCTGTGCCAGCCCGGTGTCACTCTGGGGACACCTCTGTGCCAGCCCCGTGTCATTCCAGGGGACACCTCTGTGCCAGCCCCGTGCCACTCTGGGGACACCTCTGTGCCAGCCCAGTGTCGCTCGGAGCAGGAAGCAGCAGCGGGATGGAGCGGGATGGATCCCATTCCTTGCTCCCATTCCCGGATCCCATTCCCGGACCCCATTCCCAGATCCCATTCCCAGACCCCATTCCCGGATCCCATTCCCAGATCCCATTCCCAGACCCCATTCCCGGATCCCATTCCCAGACCCCATTCCCAGATCCCATTCCCAGACCCCATTCCCAGATCCCATTCCCAGACCCCATTCCCAGATCCCATTCCCTGCTCCCGCTGTGACTCCAGCCCAGCTGCAGGGAGGGGACAGCTGGCAGCTGGCAGCAGCCGGGGTGTCCCCACCCAGCCCTGAGGAGGAGGAGGAGGCTGAGCGGAATCCTGGGATGTCCCGGCCTCGATTCCCACCCAGCCCATGGAAAATGCGGCTCATGGCCGGGGAGCCGCGGGGACACACGTGGGGACACACGTGGGGGACACGCGGGGACACGGGAGGGTCGCCACGGATCCCAAACGCCACGGGCGCTCCTCCTGCCTCTCCTCCCACCCCAAAGCTGCGTGATCCCACTTTGGCAGGCACGAGCACATTGTTCTGTGACCTGGGCTTTGGATTTCCACCGGGATTTCCCCCCTTCTCTAACGACATCCCGATATTGTCTCTCCTTCCCGGTCCCGCTCGCAGCTGGAAAGCTTCGAATCCCCCCCTCGCAGCACTAAAAATATCCCACGGATTGTCCCAGCCGGGGCTCAGCCATCCCATGGATCCGGGGGTGAACTCTCATCCCATGGATCCAGGGGTGAACCCCCATCCCATGGATCCGGGGGTGAACTCTCATCCCATGGATCCAGGGGTGAACCCCCATCCCATGGATCCAGGACTGAACCCCCATCCCATGGATCCAGGACTGAACCCCCATCCCATGGATCCGGGGGTGAACTCTCATCCCATGGATCCAGGGGTGAACTCTCATCCCATGGATCCAGGGGTGAACTCTCATCCCTCTCATCCCATGGATCCAGGGGTGAACTCTCATCCCATGGATCCAGGAAAACCCTTGGATCTGGAATTGGGGTCTCTCTGTCCCCTGCACCCCTCGGTGCCAGGGAAGCTCCACTGCTGTGCCAAGGCACCCCCAGTGCCACCAGTGCCCACCAGTGCCACCAGCCTCGCTGATGAGGGGACCCCAAAGGCCAGCCCAGCCTGTGAGGGCAGAGGTGACATCCAGAGGGGTCCCAGAGGTGACCCCAGGTGTCACTGCCACTGCTCCAGGTTTTCCTTGGAGAATCCCCAGACCAGGATGAGCCCATCTCCCCACCCCGGGTGCATCCCCCACCCCCCTTGGGGACGTGCTGTCCCCGTCCCTTGCCCCAAGTGCCACCAACAGCTGCAGGTGTCACTCGGCCACCTCGCCAGCGCCCTCCGAGCTTCACAGCTCCCCTCCCACCCCCAACTCCATAAAGGATTTAACGGAACAGCTGGAGCGGCAGCTGGGCTGTGGGGAGGAGCTCCTCACCCCACCCCACACCCCACACCCCACACCCCACACCCCGCACCCCGCACCCTGCACCCCACACCCCACATCCCACATCTCACATCCCACACCCCGCACCCCGCACCCTGCACCCTGCACCCTGCACCCCACATCCCACACCCGGCACCCCGCACCCCGCACCCCACATCCCACATCTCACATCCCACACCCCACACCCCGCATCCCACACCCCACACACCCCACACCCGGCACCCCACACCCCACACCCCGCATCCCACACCCCACACACCCCACACCCGGCACCCCACACCCCACACCCCGCATCCCACACCCCACACACCCCACACCCGGCACCCCACACCCCACACCCCGCATCCCACACCCCACACACCCCACACCCGGCACCCCACACCCCACACCCCGCATCCCACACCCCACACACCCCACACCCGGCACCCCACACCCCACACCCCGCATCCCACACCCCACACACCCCACACCCGGCACCCCACACCCCACACCCCCCACACCCCACAGGTGCTCCAGCCTCCCAGGGGATCGGGGTTACACCTCAGGGAACCCCTGGGAAGACACTTCCCCTCCTTCTTCCTCCTCTTCCACCCCGAATGACCATTTCACCACGCACCAGGAGCCGCCTCCATGACGGACACCGAGCGTGATGGGACCAACCGAGCTCAGCTGCTGGAGCCACCACCCTCGGGTGTCACCTTCACGTGGCTCCATCCCAGAGGTGACAACCCCAGACAACGGCATGGCCACTGCAGCCACCACCCTTGGATGTGACCTTTGTGTGGCTCCATCTCAGAGGTGACAACCCCAGAGGTGACAACCCCACACCATGGGAGCCACCACCCTTGGATGTCACCTTCACATGGCTCCATCCCAGAGGTGACAACCCCAGAGGTGACAACCCCACACCATGGGAGCCACCACCCTTGGATGTCACCTTCACATGGCTCCATCCCAGAGGTGACAACCCCAGAGGTGACAACCCCAGACCATGAGACAGCCCATGGAGACACCACCTTCGAGCGTCACCTTCGTGTATCCCCATCCCAAAAGTGACAACCCCAGACCACATGACAGCCATTGGAGCCACCACCATTGACATGGCTCCGTCCTGGAGGTGACAACGCCAGAGGTGACAACCCCAGAGGTGACAACCCCAGACCATGGGAGCCACCACCCTTGGACATCATCTTCACATGGCTCCGTCCCGGAGGTGACAGCCCCGGAGGTGACAACCCCAGACCATGCAAGCAACCACCCTTGGACATCACCTTCACATGGCTCTGTCCTGGAGGTGACAACTGCAGAGGTGACAACCCCGGAGGTGACAACCCCAGCCCATGGAAGCCACCACTCTTGGACATCATCTTCACATGGCTCCGTCCCGGAGGTGACAACCCCAGAGGTGACAACCCCAGACCACGGCAGGGCCACTCACCTTCAACCGGCGACGTCTTCAACCTCTTGCAGACGTTCTGGACGCCACCATAGGAGTCGTTGAGCCGGGCCACGGCCTCGGCGCTCCTCAGCTCCATGAGGTTCCTGAGCTCCACCATGGAGCACCCAAAGTCCCCCTCATGGTTGCCCTCGGCCACCGAGTTCCCGGGGTGGTGGTCGGCCACGTTGTTCGTCATCTTGTCACAGTGACGGTGCCGCCGGCGCGGCGCTCCTGGGGCGGCCTCGCTCGCGGCTCCGGCGGCTCCGGCGGGGGATGCTCCGTGCGGCCCCTTTCCCTGGGGGCTTCCCGGGGGGAACGGGCGGCTCTATCCGAGCCCAAGTTGTCGGGATGAAGGTGTAAACAGGATGTGCATGTTACCGCGGAGGCGACCTTAGCAACGCCCGGCGTGCAGCTCCTGCAGCGGGAGGAGGAGGAGGAGGAGGAGGAGGAGGAGGAGGGGGGCTCCCTGGATACCACAGCAACTGGAGCTGCGAAAACAACCGTGGGAAACAAAAATATCCGCGTTAGCAGCGCTTGGGAACCGGCGAGGCGCCCCGTGGGGTGGGAGAGGGGAGCGGCGCTACCCCCAAGGCGGGGATTTTTAGGGAGAACGCGGCGGCGGCGCCGTTTGGGCAAAAAATTCCTGGGTGAGAAGTTGAGCTCGGAGTGCGGAGCGGGGAAAAGCGGCAGCTGCGGGGCCGGGCAGGAAAGGAGCCCAGGTGGTTCTTCACTTTCAGCCCAGACAAACCCTGCCCTTGATTTTGGGTTAAAAATACCCTTCGGCAGTGGGAAACAGCTGCTTCCTCCCCTGGGCAGGACGCCGGGGCTGGAGCATCGCTCCTTGCCCTGCCGGCAGGTAGGGAATGATCCCAGTATCCCAAAATCCCAATATCCTGATATCCCAATATCCTGATATCCCAATGTCCCAAAATCCTAATATACCAATATCCCAAAATCCCAATATCCTGATATCCTGATATCCCAATGTCCTGATATCCCAATATCCTGATATCCCAATGTCCCAAAATCCTAATATACCAATATTCCAAAATCCCAATATCCCGATATCCCAATATCCTGATATCCCAGTGTCCTGATATCCCAATATCCCAATGTCCCAAAATCCAATATCCCGATATCTCAACGTCCCAATATCCCAAATCCTGATATCCCAATGTCCCAAAATCCCAATATCCATGGGAAAGGGGCTGCAGCACCCCACGGGTTCTACATCCGCCTGGAGATGCCACAGGAACCACGAAGGGGAAGAGAAAAGTGGCAGAGAAGCCACCAAAAGCTGGGAATTTCTCGGAAATCGAGGTTTTTTCCATCAATGACCGGCGCGGAGGTGACACCCAGAGCACTCTCAGTGTCCCTAAACGCTTCCACCCAGGTCACAACCCCCTCCAGCAAGGACAGGACAGCCCCAAAAACTCTTCAACCAATCCAGGCAGGGACCACGAGCATCCCACAGCTCCCCCATTCCTCAGGGATTCGGGGGCTGGGATTCCCTGCTGGCATTTCAGAGTTCTAGGGACAAACAGGGACACAGAGGGAACAGCACAGGCCAGAGGGCTTTTTGTCAGCCAGGGTTAGCTGCGTTCCCAAGCTCCAGGGAAGCTGCCGGCGCTCCAGAGGCAAAAAGGCTGCGAGGGGAGGCTCTCATGGAGAGAAAATAAAATTCTTCCGAGGGCAAAAGAAATAAAGAACAACAGGGGAACGGCTGCTCCGCCCGAGACGGGGCCCAGGGGTGGCAGAGCAGGCTGGGGAGGGACAGGGAAGGACAGGAGGGAGGAGGGGGAATGTCCACTGCTGATCCCAGGACATCACCTTCACATGGCTCTGTCCTGGAGGTGACAACCCCAGAGGTGACAACCCCAGAGGTGTTCACCAGACCTCACACAGCCCGCAGAAAGGCACCAAATCAGCACAGGGGTGTCCCAAATGACCCCGATCCCAGCCCCAGGGGTGTCCCAAATCACCCCAATCCCATCACCAAGGGTGTCCCAAATCACCCCAGTCCCAGCCCCAGCCACAGGGACTTTTCAGTCTCTGGGTGACTGAACCCCAAGGAACCCCAAGGAACCCCAAGGAACCCCAGCTCTCCCTGCCTGGCCCTCGGGAGCAGCTCCTTATCCCGCCTGCAGCACCCCCGGGGCAGCTCCCGGCATTATCAGGGCACCACAGGCACCAACTGAACCTCAGGGACAGCAGTGACAGCGACAGAATGTCCCCACCTCGCCAGAATGTCCCCACCTCGGGAGGGAGCTGTGGCCCAGCTGCAGGGATGGGACACAAGGATGGGGACACTGGGATGGGGACACTGGGATGGGACACAGGGATGGGGACACTGGGATGGGACACAGGGATGTGACACAGGGATGGGGACACAGGGATGGGGACACTGGGATGGGACACAGGGATGTGACACAGGGATGGGGACACAGGGATGGGACAGAGGGATGGGACACAGGAATGAGGACACAGGGATGGGGACACTGGGATGGGGACACTGGGATGGGACACAGGGATGGGGGACAGGGATGGGGGACACAGGGATGGGGACACAGGGATGTGACACAGGGATGGGGACACAGTGAGGGGACAGAGGGATGGGGACACAGGGATGGGACACAGGGATGGGACACAGGGATGGGACACAGGGATGGGGGACAGGGATGGGGACACTGGGATGTGACACAGGGATGGGGACACAGGGATGGGGACACTGGGATGGGACGCAGGGATGAGACACAGGGATGGGGACACAGGGATGGGACACAGGGATGGGGACAGGGATGGGGACACTGGGATGGGGACACTGGGATGGGAGCACAGGGATGGGGACACAAGGATGGGGACACAGGGATGGGGACACAGGGATGTGACACAGGGATGGGGACACAGGGATGGGGACACTGGGATGGGACGCAGGGATGAGACACAGGGATGGGGACACAGGGATGGGACACAGGGAGGGGGACAGGGATGGGGACACTGGGATGGGGACACTGCAGCTCCCACCCTCAGGCCAGAGCACTGCTGCTGCCCCATCCAGCAGGGATCCCTGGCTCCCGCATCCCTGCCCGTTCCCAGCCCGTTATCCCACGGCTCCTCATGGAGCTGAGCTCATCCATCCCTGCACGGCAGCAGCTCCCGGCAGCGGGAAGCAGGAGGTGGCAGGCCCAATTAAGCAGGCTCCTGCTGATTAAGAGAAAAAACCATAATTCCCCCACCCCACCACGCTCATTTCCTCCTCTTTCATAGCAACCGGCGCTGTCTGAGGAGAGCTCAGAGGTTAAGAGGGAGACAGTTAATTAAAACTGTATCGGCCTAGCCCTTAATTACCCCTGACCCAGCTCAGGGGGCAGTGATCAGCACCGTCCCTGTGTCCCACTCTGACATTCCAGCCTGGAACTGGCTCCATCCTCGGCGGAAAGGAGGGATCAGCACCATCCGTGTCCCACCTGTAATTCCAGCCTGGGACCGAGGTGTGGGATGGCTCCTGTCCGCCCTGAGCATCCTCCCCCAGCCCTTTTGGGATCACAGCCCCATTCCCATCCCTGCCCCTTCCCACCAGCACAGGCTCCCTGGCCGAGCTGGGAAGGATCCACCCGGACCAGAGCCATCGCTCTGAGGAGCTGCCAGTGGCTTCACCCCGGGAATTCATTCCCAGAGCCCCCAGGAACGAGGAGAGGAAGGAGTTCTCCCTGAGGGAAGCAAACAGCCCAGGCGGGAGAGGAGCAGGGAGCTGAGCTCCCCGTGCTGTGTCACCAGCTGTGTCACCTCCCCGAGCTGGCCCAGGAGCTGGGGATCCATCCCCGGAGCCTCGAGGGGAGGCTCGTGCAGGCTCCAGGCAGGAGGAGCTGGCGAGGAGCAGCGGAGCCGCCGCGGTGCTGCAGCTGAACCTGCCCGGAATAATAAACGGCAGCACGGCACCTCCGTCCTGCCAGGGACAGTGCCCGTGGCCAGGGCCACCGGCCGAGCGTCCCCCGTGCCCATCCCGGCCTCAGTCCCCGCTGGATTTAACCTGGGAGGCGGCAAAGCGACGAGGAGAAATCAATCAGCTGGAGACGCCGCAAGTGACAACTTCGGCCACGCCGTGGGTGGCCCTGCTGCCACGCCGGTGGCACCGGGAGCCTGGCACGTGCTGGGCAAGGACAGGGATCCTCCTGCCTCAGGACATCGGATCAGACCCGGGAGCGCTGCTCCGTCCTCCCACGGATGATCGGAGATGGAGCAACCCCTGCCCGAGCTCAGGAGGATTTTCCATCGACACACGAAGGAGGATGAAATCCACGCCCCAGCTCAGCTCCTCCAGCTGGGACATCTCCCACCAGCAGGCCAAGGAAAAGCATCCCCAGCCACCACATTCCCTGCCCAGAGCCACAAATCCCAGCTTGGATCAGGTGGATCAAGGTGGAATCACCTTCCCCAAGCACCTGGATCCCAGCCCCAAACTCTGCCCCTCTCGGCAGCTCCCACCGGGGTCCATCTCCTCTCCCACTTTGGGAATGGGGTGTTGGGAACACTTGGCTGCTGGAGGTTGCCATGGCAAACTCAATGTAAAGCTCTCAGGCGTGCTGTTGGTATTGCCAAGTGGGGAGGAAGGGAAAAAAAAAATTAAAAAAAAAAAATAAATAAAAAATCAACTCCCCCAGAATTACCCTTCCTAGGCTCGGGCTGGAGATTTTTCTCCTTGGGAATCCGAAGCTGCATCCGCAGTGGGATGAGAGAAGCTGCACGGCCAGAGCCTCTCTCCAGATGGACAAACGGACTCCAAGAGCCAATTAAAGCAGAAAAAAAATGGGCTTGGGGCACCTTTCGTGCCCTGCCGGCTGGGAACTGCCCCTGGAGAGGCCGCACTGCTCTGCCTCCCCAGCACACGGACCCCGCTCGCTGCTGGGAGAGGCGCTGAAAACCCCCTGGAATGGCCGAATCCAGGGAAAAAATCACCGGGAGAGCCCCAACCCCGCGGCTGAGGAGGGGGACGAGACCCCCCCGCAGCCCCCCGGAGCGGGGGGAATTCCCTTTCCCAGCGGGAATGTGGCACCAGGGCTGCGCACCGGGCGCGTCCCAACAGGCGACAGCCTCGGGGACAGGGAGGGGACAGAGGGGACACGGCCGGGGCTCAGCCGGCTCCGCGTCCCACGGCGGCCACGTGGAGCACGCGGTGGCCAGCCCGCGGTGACAGCGGCTCTTTTGGGGGATTTTAGGGGATTTTATGGGGTCCCCACTCCCCCGCCCCACGGAGCCGCCGCGGGCAGCGCTGGGGGGGCCCCGCAGCCCTTGGGGGGCCCCTCCCGTGCACACTCACCAAATCGCAATGTGCAGATGGCAGCGGCTCCCGCTCCCGCTCCTGCCTGTTCCCAGCAACACCCCTGGCAAGGGAAGCCTTCCCTCCTTAACCCCTCCGCCGCCGGGCCGCCCGCAGGGGACACCGCGGGGCTCTGTCCCCTCCCGCGGCTCACAGCCACCACCCTCGCGC